TTCTTCTGATGCATATTGATTCAGCTTTCGTAGAAAGTTATTGAAACTTATTTTCTATTCAAATGTGGGATATTATTGAGTTTGAATAGAAAATGTGGGGTATTGTTGGAGTTTTATTTGACTTTAGTTAATAGTGTTTAACTAAATAGTTAACATATAATTAAAGGACACATATCTTCTTCTCAACATATGTGTTGGTTTGGAAATGTGTATAACATACGGACACGTCCGTTGAGAAAGCTTGATCAACATATCCTTTCAATCATTATATATAGAGATTCTGGGTAGTGATTAGAAACAAGGAAGAGATTTCAATTACTCTGATTTTCTCTATCTCTTTCAAACACTTTATGAGAAACACAAAGTAGAGTTTGCGAGGACCTCCGTACGGTGTTTTGTGCGGAGTTCGATAGTTGTATCCTCAAGATAGATGTCCACGCAACTACTTACACCATAGTAGGGACGAAATTCTGTCTTAGGAGATTGCCACAAGCAAGCCTCTATCATCTTACGAGTCACCGCGTCTGAGAGAGTAATGGCCAAGTTCGTCTTTTGTATTACATATACTTTGTATTTGTAAATCGTTTCTTTCTTATAAATACAACATCTTCTCTTTGTATCGATCGTTCTGCATCTATATTTCTAACACAAATTGCAAAGCATAAGGCATTTACAGGGAGAGATGCAGAGAGTACTGTGGTAAGTGTTGGTGAACGAAGCGTTGAGGGTCTGCGGTCTAAGTTAGAAAGGTGGCAAGCCAATTTACTAATGGTTGTAGACTTGGGTTCGAGTTATCAACCAAGTTCTGACTATAAAACAATCTCTAACGTCAACCCTAAAACAAGTTACAAGCCTCCTTTCCTCGTAATCAACAGATGATTGTAGCTCCCCTTCAAGAGCAAAGTGGGAGAAACAAGAAAGGAGGAGATGGTGGATATTGTTTTCCTGTTTTGGTAATATTTGTGGTATTGAGTGTTCTATTGTCTGTGGTGGCTCTAGTGCACAAAAAGCATCCAAGACGAAGAAAAAGAAGTGAAAACTTTAATCCCCATAGTCCTTCAATTCTAAACGATTCACTTCGCATTGATTCTGTTTTCTACTTTCAAGCTTGTCGATTTTGCTACTCAATAATCAAATATTCAAAATAGTAAGACAGGAACAAAAGGGTATACAGTATTATTTCATTATATTTTAATAGTAAAAAAAGAATTGGATGATTTCAAGAATATCGAAATGCTTGTCAATTATTTTGCTTTAAACAACAAGGTGTACATGTAGATTTTTTCAGTGCAACAATATTAGATAACTATGTTAATAATTCGTATGATGTCTCGATATTAGGCAAAAAGGCCAATTCCCCGTGAACTTAGGAGATGTTTTTTATTTATACGTGATCTATTAAGATAAGCCAAAAGCCCAATGAACTTTATATAATTTTGAATTTTTCCCATAACCTATTATAATTTGGCCAATTGACACAAACTGCAGACGGAATCTGTTATCCGTTAAACAGATGGTGACGTGGATTACAGGTGGGTAACGGGGTTTGATTCGGTTTAAAGTTAACCAAAATCAATTGGTTTCTTGACTGGTTTAACACAAAGACAGTGTCGTTTTTGCATCTTG